GTGTTAGCTGCACAGTTTTTTCAAAACCACCGTGCTCAGACACATGAAGTCTGCGGAAGCATACATTTCTATCTGCAAAAAACATTGTGTTGCTGACCTGCAGCTGACTCTTGGGTGGGTGTGATTGTGGGTATAAAGTAAGCTTGTGTGACTTGTTTGGGCTCTTGCAATAAATGTCTAATAAGATGAAGCAATGTGGTGTTGACTGGTATTTTAAGTGGAAATGGACAACTTTTTTGCTTTAAGTTATCATTGAGTAACATTGATTACACAATGTAATGGCTATGGAATGGTGTGTATACACACACACATATACAGTCCCTGACAAAAGTCTTGTCGCTTGGGTACAAGTTGACCTTAAGTGCCCCTCAAATATATGTCTAATCAATTTTTTTTTACAAGAAATGGCTAATTTCAACCCCAACAGCTTTTGAAATAATGTTTTGGTGCCAAACGAAACTGCTGAAAACGTTTACAGCTTGGTAAAGCCCACTGAGTCAGTTTTTGCAAAGACGAAAGTCTTGTCGCCTTGTCATATGATGCACCCAATCCTAGATTACAGCCTCACCTGTGATCAATAATTGATCAATCAATTAGTGGGTGTGTATAAAAAGAACCCCAGCACACCAGACCTTCACATAAACTGCAACTTGACCTCTGACAACATGCCTAAGATTCACCCTGAGACCAAAGCGTTGATTATCAAGAGGCTGAAGACCAGATCCACTGCTGAGGTGGCTGACACCTTCAATGTGTCTCAGCGTCAAGTACAAAGAATAAGAAAAAGATTTGAAGAGACTGGAGATGTTTTTGACAAGCCCAGGTCTGGCAGACCCCGCAAGACAACTGCTCAGGAGGACTGTTGGTGGCTCGAAAATCTAAGGCCAGCCCCTTTTCCACTGCAGCAGAGCTCCACCAGGCCTGGTCACCTCAAGTCCCCGTGTCAACCAGAACAGTTTGTAGAAGTCTGTCTTGAATGGCCTCCATGGTCGAATCAGTGCCCAGAAACCAGCACTAAACAAAAGGCAATTAAAAAAAACGTGTGGCATTTGCCAAGGCCCGCAGCCTGCTAAAAAGATGGACGCTGGAAAAGTGGCAGAAGGTGGATTTCTCAGATGAATCTTAGGTTGAATTACATCACAGCCGCCGCAAATATTGCAGGAGACCTACTGGAGCCCGCATGGATCCGAGATTCACCCAGAAAACAGTTAAGTTTGGTGGCGGAAAAATCATGGTCTGGGGTTACATCCAGTATGGGGGTTGTGCGAGAGATTTGCAGGGTGGAAGGCAATATCAATAGCCTAAAATGTCAAGAAGTATTAGCTACCTCTTACATTCCCAACGATAAAAGGGGTCAAATTTTGCAGCAGGATGGTGCTCCATCGCATACTTCCATCTCTACATCAAAGTTCCTCAAGGCGAAGAAGATCAAGGTGCTCCAGGACTGGCCAGCCCAGTCACCAGACATCAACATCATTGAGCATGTGTGAGCCGTGCTAGGGGTGGATAGATTAAAACACAGGTGCCGACAACGCCACCTAGGTTTAGCTGAGGCCTAGGACCTCTTAGAATCACCAAATTAAAGTTAGGGTAAACAGGTTCTTTTATGTCGGGGGAGAGCAGTAAACAGTGTTATTTTTAAAACAATGAGTACAGCCAGTAGAACACAGTTGAACACAATTTATTTTAAGATAAGTAAAAACAACTAAAAGCTCTACCTTCAAAGAAACTAAAACAAAGAACACAAACAACTAAAACCCGGCTAAAATAATGCGGGACGGATGGAGTGGGAGGTCAACCACGGCAGTCGCGGGTCTCTGGTGGCGACCACCTGCTCTTCACCTGGCTCCGCTCTCAGGCAGCCTGTGGAGGGAAACTCAGGGCCAGTCAATGTCCTTTAACAAGGCACAACTTTATATATTACACACCACACAAACACCGGTCTGAAACGGGACTTACGCGGGAGGGAGAAGTTTTACCTTCTCCCAATTACAGCCGCTAGCGGTCGGTGTTCGCTCCGGTGTCTCTTCAGACCTCTTCCAGGCCGATGATCCGCTCTGTCTCTCTGTCTGCTTCCTGCTGTCCGGCCCGTTGTCCCCCCGGGTGTCTTCCATAGTGTCCTTTTTATCCAAGAACAGTCACTCCCCTCTCTGGGTCCCAGGTTAAGTCCTTACGCTTGATTAAGGTATGTCTCCGGTGGGGAAGTAAAACCAACATAACACAAACACACACACCACACTTCAAAATAAAAGCATGCAATAATAAATAAGACAAAAACACAGCAAATTCAAAGTAAAAGCATGCTTAAATAAAATCAAACTTCCCCCCCGTGACACATGTCTGGGGTAGAATGAAAGAGGAAGCATGGAAGACGAAACCAAAGAAGCTTGATGAACTCTGGGAGGCCTGTAAGACTGCTTTCTTTGCTATTCCTGATTAATTCACTGATGTTATGCAACATATTTTTGTATTTGAAGTAAATTATTTGTTCAATTTTCACATTACTCTCTGTAGGCGACAAAACTTTTGTCTTGCCAAAATCTGACCTTTCTGTGTTCATTAAATGAGCAATCTTTCTTCAGTGAAGCAAATTCATTTTAGTATATTAAACATAATTTGGGAGGGTTTCAGCTTTCATATGAGCCCTTTCTAAAACCAATGGATTAATTATAAGTCAGGTTATAAGCTGTTGTTTCTACAAAATGGATAAGTGACAAGACTTTTGTTAGGGACTAGGGGTAGGGGGTTAGGGGTAATTGTTGACACATTACAACATATTTGACATCTATAATCGGCATCGGTCGATGTCTGTGCTCATGAGGCCAATAATTAAAAAAATTGTCTTGTTGGTTCAAAGGATAGCAGAAAAGCAGTCTAAATATATATCTGGTTTTACAGTTAAGATTCCTGTATTTGGACACACAGCGATACCTGTTGTGGGCAGTTAATTTAGTCTCTAATAGTAATATTTTATCATTAAAGAAGCTCATAAAGGGAATACACAGTACAATAGAGCTGTGACTCTCTGTCAGCCTGGCTACAGTGCTGGAGAGGAACCTAGGGTTATTCTTATTTTCTTCTGTTAGTGCTGAATAATAGGCTCCCCTGGCATTACGGAGGGCCTTTCTATAGGTTTTAAGACTCTTCCCAGATTGAACGTGATTCTACTAGCTTGGACCAGTGGCATTTCCTTTCAGATTTCCGCGCTTTTTGCTTTAATTGGCGGGTTTGGTGATTATACCAAGGTGCTAGCCTCCTGTGTTTTCATATTTTCTTTTTTGGGGGCAATAGAATCTAGTGTTGTTCACAGTGAGCCGGCAGCACTGTTCACAAGATGATCAATTTGGTATGGACTGCGGTTATCATAGGAGTCCTATGTTATATTGAGACATTGAATTAAATACAGATGGAATCCGTAATTTAATAATGGTCCGATTAAAAAAGGATTATGTGGGAAGACTATTAAATGTCCATTATCAGTGCCATATGACGGAACAAGATCAAGAGTGTGATCAAAACCATGGGTGGGTTTATTTACACTGACAAGTTTGAGGGCATTAAAATAGTTTATATTTTATACATAACTTATGACTTAGCCTTTACCTGCTGTTCTTATGTGTTCAATTATATTAAACAATATCACAGATACTTCTGATGACGCCTGCAAGACTCCAGTAGTAATGTCCCTGATATCAAAACAAACAAACAAACAAACAAACAGCAGGTACAAAAAAAATAAAAACATACATGACATACATGTTCATGATTTTGGCTTCTAGAGCAGTGATTCCCACCTTTTTCATTAAGGAACCCCTTTTTCTGTCTGCAATCTTTTTTTTGTCCGATTGACACCAATTATATAAAAATGCCAGATAATCACTCCGATTAATTGTCCAACCAATTAACTAATGTTCACTAATTTAACTAACTTACTAACTTAATTCAGCTATGTACGTTTTGTGAATGCTGTTTTCTGTGGTGTATTGAGCAGTTTTTTAATGAATAACTTAGAAACTGCACAAGCTAAGATATACAGAGTTAGTAAGATAGGTTGAAATATCAAGAGTTAGCTGAGGCAAAAAATAACAGTTTGATGTTGCTGTTAGTTGTTTGTCTAGTTTTAGCTAAATATCAGATTTAAATTTTTTATGTAGCTAATATTTAACTACCAGCAGTTACTTCTACTTTCATGTAGTGACTCAAGGTACAGATCCCAAATCTATTTAGTGCCACATTGGTTCATATCTACTTTGTACACATTATTGTTGAAGCATTATTTATAAGTTTCTTGGTCATTTATTAGTTATTTCAGCTAACAAGTTATATGATTTTTTGTTGTTGAATGTAGTAAATTACTCTTAATGATCAATTTTGATATCAGATTCTAGCTAGGTTAATATAGCTAGAGGTGGCTGAAGGAGAAAGAAACAAGTTCCCCTGGTAGATCCATTTTAAACATTGGCTTAATTATAACTAATAACTACATCTGGGGTTGCACATCAGCTTTCCGTGTGTGCGTGTGTGTGTGTGTGTGTGTGTGTGTGTGTGTGTGTCTTGTATGTTGTAGTTATACTAATAATCTGACAATCAAAGCCGTGAAGGTGTATGAGGCTACATTAGATGTAAATTGGGCTGGGACACTTGTTATGAAGAGAGGTTCTGTTGCATTCACTGTTGTATGTGCAGAACTCCATCCACATTATATTTATGTATAGTATATCAGGGCCTTAATTACTACCAGGTAAAGAAAATCAAACTACCACTACAGATCATCAGAGCAAAGTATTCATCATAGATCCAATTAGAGAATTGATTTGATTGACTTTTTGTGGTACAATACATTTTTATTTCTTATTTTAATTGTTATTTTAATTTTTTGGAGGGATTGAGAAATTTGTGAGAAAAAGGAAAAACCGTGTCAAAAAAATGTGTCACAGATTTCATACTTCAAATGTCTACAAAGCCAAGGTTACAATAATTAAATAATCCCAACAAAAAAGTGCACAAGATTTCATTTTTTTATTACATATTTCATGATTACACATATTCTCAGAGCTTACAAACCATTAACTTCAGTTCAGTAATTACTGAAATAAGATTGTAGTTATTAAAAATTTGATGTCAACAACAATAAATCACATTTCTCACACAACAACAGCAGATCATTATCCCACTTTTTACCTTTATTCTTATTTGTTCAAAAAAGTAAAATAATAAAATGTAAACTGGTATTTATGAGCTCCAGGGCTAAATACCTATGAGGCAGTTTGGTCAGTCTCAATCTGGTGAACAAACGGCAACAAAAATAAAACAACAAAAGTGTAAAACAAATGTTTGTAAAAGATGAAATTACACAAAATAAAAACATACACAGCTAGAGCTACAGGATCAATAGTTTACCCTGAAGTCTGTCTTAGTTATTATGTCATGTCTCATGTGCCTGTGTTGCACTCTTAACTATGTATTATATTTGCACTTGCACACTTGGTGAATGTGCCACATCTGCAACAGAAAACAAAAACGTCTCAGAAAGTAGATAACAAATGTTTCTAAAAGATTAAAGACATTAAAAAATATATAAAAACATACACATACAGCTAGTACTACATGATTTACCATTTATTATTGCAATCTGTTTTATCATTTGCTCATGGGGTTTTATGGCTAGTATGGTTACTGGCCGCCACACCTTGTTGTCACTCTGTAGAGACAAAAGCAAAAACCTCTCAGAAAGTAGATAACAAATGTTTCTAAATGATGAAATTCTATTAAAATACAAATATATTAAAATACACATACAGCTAGATTGATGCCTGCAATTTGACTTAATTTGCTTCATCATTCACTTGTGTTTTTATGAGGTGTTTCAAATTCCACAGTGAGTCAGTGGCTGCCACACCTAGTTTTCACTCTGTACAGTTCACATGTCAGTGCTTGTATTGGACTTGTTTAATTTACTCTCCTAGTTTTCATACTGGATATCATAAGCAAGTGGTCCATTAATGGCAAAACCAAGGTAGAAAGACACCTTTTCTGTGCTGAAACCACTTCTTATACCAGCAATGAGAGCTGGACGCACAGGGATTTTAATTGTTCCATAATTGGCAAACACCTCTCCTTGCTCAACGGTTCCACTGACTCGATGGAGGCGATTGATAATTGCTTTGTCTTTAAATATGTCTCCATTCCGCCAAAGTTGTGCCAAGGTGTTGCGCTGCATCTTTTTAAAATTCTCATCAAGTTGTTGTTTGGAAACAAGCCTCTTGAGTCCTTCTGCTTTCCCCAAGTAGAGGTGGGCAACAGTGCTCCTGTTTCTGAACAATGAAGTCAGGCGCTTGTGAGAGGAGTTTCGGATTGCTCTCACATATTCCCCAATTTCTGTGTTTTTCTGAGTAGGACTTGGCCAGAATAACAGCAGAGCCAGGTAGTATGGATCTGGGAAGGGATAGCTAAGTCCTACATCTTGCAGAGTTTTCAAAAGTAGAGCAGAAAGGTCACTGTGACTCTTCACATGTTTACATTTTGGTTTCAGAAGATAAAAAACTATGTTTGACAAAATGTAATTTACTGTTTCCTTTGTCTTTTGTTTTTTGTTGATAAATTGTTGTTGTTGTTGCAAGAATGCATAGCACTCAGTGATCTTCTCAATGTCTTCAGCAGGTTTGTCCAAATGCTGAAGAATCCCTGTGAATGTATCTGCTTGGTTCTTCTCAAGAAACAATCTTTGTTCTTCAATATCAATTTTCAAATTGAGATTAGGATTGTTTTGTCTTTCTTTTTTAATTTCCTCTGGTGCAGTACAAAACAGATTTACATACTTTTTGAAAAGACCACAGACAGTCCAACGATTCTTTGAATCAAATTCAGAATTGTTTGCTTTTATATATGTGAAGTAACAGTCAAGAATTTCAAAGGTTTCTTTCGCTTCAGTTTTCAAACTGAGAAGAAAATGTTCATGTTCTCTGAGGATCTCCACGTACCTGTTGTTGATCTCATTGTCTTCCTTATACACACTTGTGATCGGGATTGCTTTTTGCAGAAAACTCTGCAAGTACTTCTTCTTCATTGGATCACTTTCTTCAAAGAACGGCAATCTGCTCAATATCTCAAAGACCAGGAAAACAATTTCCAGCACATTCACATAGCCGTAAACATTGTATGACTTTCTGGGATAGTCATCCGACTCATCATCAGCAGCTTCCTTCTCAAGCTCATCCTCTGTTTTTGCCAGCTCTTGAGCCTTTCTAAATACTGCGATAGCATTATCTGCTATTTTAATGTTTGTCTTCAAATCTTCTGGATTGCGGGATGTCTCCTGCTTTTCTTTGGGGTTGTTAAATTTTAAATTGCTTTTGTGAATCTGCCCAATTGTGTCATATGTGTATGGATTTTCTTTAATGTTCTTGGCTTGTTCAGCCCATTTTAGAGCCTCTGGGAAGTCACCCTCATTGATGTACAGGTATCTTGCCAGTGCCTGAGGAATAGATGCACTTGTCACAAACCTGGATGATGCTTTCACAAAGATTTCTTGGACAGTTTGTCTCCCTTGCTGGTTGTGGATTTCAACTATGAGAGGAGAGAAGAGTTCTCTCCCATCTCCATCTTTCCTGCGCTGCCTTTCAATCAACATTCGTTGAATTGAGAGCATGAATCTGTCCTTGACAACTCCAACTCTGAAGAACAGATCACAGTGAAGAATCTCCATAGTGATATCACTTACTTTCAAGTTGTACCTTTCCTCCAACTCTTCCAGACATGCAGATGCTATGGATTGATGAAGGATTCTGATTCCTTTGTATCCTCCTAATTCTTCAACTGTGTCTATGATGAGAAAGTTTGAATATGGCTTCATTCTGTCCAACACACTGTCCTCTTGCCAGTGAATCATTTTCATTCCTAAAAAGTCTTCACAGAGTGAGAGAGAGATCTCAGATTCTGCTACATGGGTGTTAAGTAAGGCCAGAAAGGCAAACAGTTTGGCCTTCTTTGAGCTGAAATCAAAGTTCTCCAGTGTGTTACGAGCAATTTTTTTGATGTATTCTTCATCAAAATTACTCTTCATGATCATGAAACTGTAAAAGTTTTCAGGTTTTTCATGAGTTTCTTTGAGCTCTTTGAGTTTCTTTTCGAACTCCTCTTGTTCTTCTCGTGTCAATGAAGCTTCTATGTATTGACTTTGTGTTGTATTGAGCTTTCTGTATTGATCCTTTGGGCTATGGGAACGAACACAGTTAAGGATGATGACTTTGCAGTTTGAGGCATCATCCACATTTAGGTTTGGGTTATCCTCTACCGCAGCTTTATGTATGCAGTTCACAAGATCGTGAGGATTCTCAGTTTCTTTTGAATCATCAACTAACAGTAAAACTGGAGACGGTTTCTCACTTTCAAGTTTCATGAGCCTTCCGACTTGAATGGCAACCTCCATCTTTGGCAGTGTGTTGTCTTTCAGCACAGCACATCTGAACTCTTGACGGAGATCCCACATCACATGCATTGCTAAGGTCGTACCACCACAGCCTGGCTGATGAAACAGATTGAGCAGAGCACACATGTTTCTGAAATCTCTCATATGACTTCTGATCATCTTCTTCCCCATTTTCATACTTGTCCCGCTTCACAAATGGCTTCTCTTTGTCTTTGTCACAGAAGTAGAAGTTTCACCATTTGACTTTTCCCCCTCTGTAGAATTCTTCCTCAACTTTGATTCTGAAGTCATGAAACTCTGGACTGTTTTCGTTGTAAATATTTTCACACTGATTAAGACACAAGATATCCAGGGCAGTCATTAAATCTTCATCCTTCTGTTTCAGGACAACAGCGCTGGATCCAGAAGAGGGAAGCAACCTTCCAGATGACTGGCTGAATGGTCCCAGTGCCGTTATAGTACCATTGATCTCACTTAGGGTTAGTTCATATATGGATAGGTGGTCAATGTCAAAATCACACTTTTCTTGTATCATCTCCCTCCATTTGAAATATGTGCTCTGAGATTCGCAAATGGTGATGATGCTTTCCTCTTCCATGTGTTTTATGAAAGACTTGAAGGTGTCAAAGACTGGGTCTTTCTCAGTGTCCACAGGTGAAAGTAGGAGGAATATGATGATACTTCTTCCATGGAGAAGAACGTTCGGGTTGCAAATGAATGAAACCAACTGCTCTACATCTCTGCAAGATTTCCTCAGCCAGTTCCTATAGTCTAACTCCTTGTTCGAGTCGCTGTCAAGGTCATGTCTGCCATTGCAGAAGACCCAGCTGGTCTGTTTGTAGAGGTTAAGGTTTTTTTATCACTGAGTCAGTCTGTCCTTGATACTGTGATGGGGTATGTAGATTGGCCACCCTTGACTCTCTGTAGGAATGACACACTCCCCCTGGAGAACTAGAGTTGGGGTCAAAGTCTAACACACAAAACAGTTTCAGCTTATTCAAAAACTGGAGATACTGCACTTGTTCTGGACTGCTCTTGTTCATAACAACAACAAAACGGTCATAGTTATCCAGTGAATTCCCACCACAAGTTAACAAATTCTTTAGTTTGTCACCCTGGTTAGCTTCTTTCTTCAAAACTCCTTTCGAAAGACTCCGCTGCTCCTGCTCCTGTTGACCTGTATGAACAATAAAATTAAGTTTGTGATTTCCTAAAACAGCTGGCCACATTGTTTGCTATTTTATCAAACAAATAGCGGGAAACAAAGCATTTGTTGGGGACTGTTTTCAGCAATGGATGAATCCACATTTGGTGCTCTAGCGAGTATTTCGGACAGCAGGATGGTACATGTGGGATTGACTCAACAAACTGTGTACATGGAAATGAAGGAAGATGTCGCTCAGTGTAGCAGTGTGGCTCACTGGTAGGCCTGCACGATATGAGCAAAATCTGCAATGTGCAATAACAATGTTCAATATGGCGATGACAGTATGATTCTTGATGAATAAACAAATAGTGAAGAGTGCATATTAGCTATACAGTTTTTGAATAAAACTAGATGTTGATTATAGAGCAGCAACTGTAATGTTTACACAACAGCAAAGTCACTATGAAAACTAATATCTCAATTTCACTGGAAACTAATCTAAAATGATAATAAAATAAATATTCCTGACATGAAAATATTGAGTGAAGGGGCGCCCTCATGGCTCACCTGGTAGAGCTGACACCCAATGTACTAAGGCTGAGTTCTTGCTGCAGTGGCAATGGGTTTGACTCTGACCTGTGCTTCTTTGCTGCGTGTCATCCCCCCTCTCTCCCCCTTTACTGTCACTCTTCTTCTTCAGCTGTTACTATCGATTAAAGGCAATAAACCCCCCCAGAATTTTTTTTAAAGATGTAAAGATGCTTTTGGTTGTTGGCTTGAAGATAGTTGATTGTTGAGTCTCATTAACAGGTCCTAAAACATCTGTATATGATGTCCTGGGAATGAAACTCAACAATCAACTATTTTTCTTGGCTCTGATTGGTTGTTTTCCTTCAGACCCAGTAAAATCTTGCAAATTTCATTAGCAGCACAAGGAGGAGCCAGTCGTACCTGATTTTTCCACAGATAATCAGTCTCATGTACTACTGTCAGGATATAGTGAAAGTTTCAGCAAATATAACTGATATTTTTTAACGTTGCCTACTGAAGCTTTAATTGTGCAGAGTACACAAAGATGCGGAAGTAACGTTACATAAACAGCAACTTTTTTTTTCTGGGGCAGCAAACACAACATACAGTAACTGTTATGCTGCAACCTGAACTTATCTACACAATTTGTGACTGACTAAAGTAACAAAACTATTCCCCTGTTAACTTTATACCAAAGCTTCTCACAACGTAAACTTTCTGAACTGTCTCTTGTTGCAAATTTATTTGTGGTATTTATGTCCAGTCTGATTACAGAAGGAACTGTTGGGTCTCTGTAAATACTTTTATAAGGAGTACGGTCTAAACTTGAAAAGTGTCCTGAGATAACTTTTGTTATGAATGGTGACAAATAAAACTGTTTAAATTGAATTGATATACAGACAGCACAACTTGTATTTTTGTGTGTGTGCAACTTGTGATTTGTGGATATAGTAATCACAAATACTTGTCAGCAAGCTAGGATAGAAAACATTAGAAAATTATGCAGATTATTGGGGGAAAAAAATGTTTACGTCATTGTTTGTCTTACCCATGTTCTTTTTCAGTTGACCAGCAAGCTCATTCTGCTGTATTTCCATCAGAATGTCTGTTGTGACTTGCAGAGCGTCCTTGCTTCCATAGTGGTCAGTCATTAACTGAGCAGTGTCCATAGTGTCCCTGCCCTCCACTCTACTCCGAGGAATAGGTTTATACTTGGATGTTGTATATTCTTTTAAATTAAATTGAAACTTTTTTAGGTCATCTTTTGAAAGGTTTTCTAGGGTTTCCTGGATCTCCACAGTGATCTTAGGTGTATCTGGTAGGACTGTGGTCTGCAGGAACAAACAGAAGTAAATATTTAGTGTTAACCTAACACTTTATTCACTGTCTATAGTTTCTAAACATCCTGAATGTTATGGCTTTATGTGTTCTAAAAGTGCACTAACAAAATAGTTTGCTTTATATCAAAAGGCTCCATTAACAGGCTGGATACAATCATTTATTTTATACTGTGATTAATAAAACAACAAATCTTACCAGACTAGTTTCTTTTCTTCTGGCCCCCAGATTCTCTGGCTTTGGCTGCTTCTCTGAAGCTTTCCTGAATGGCTGCTGAGCCTCATTTTCCACTGATCTGTCTGTTTTTGATTCAGTTTTGTTGTTTGATTCTGGTTGTATGGTTGCTATGGCCTGAGCCAGACTCTGCTCAGGTTGAATGGTTTTTGGAGCCTCTTTTTGGTCCGTGTTGGTGTGAACAATGGATTGCAGTGTTGGCTCTGGCTTCTTGTTCAGCTTACGAAGTTCTGCCAGAATCTTTACTGCAGGACCACTTTTTACATCCAGATCCAGAAGATCCTGCTTCTTGAAGCAAACAAGGCAATCTCCAGACACATCTTCCTCTTGAAGCCTTTCTGCATATTTGCTATATATGTTCACATGCTGCAGTAACCACTGGCTCACTTGCTCCTTGGTCCAGTTTTCTACATATGCTGGGAACTGTGATTCACGTGGTGATCCTTCTTTCAGACTTTCTAAGTATGATATGATTTTGACAGCAGGGCCGTGTTTAATTCCCAAGTCCAATATGTCTGTCTTTTCAAAGTCAACTAAAGAGTCTCCTGACACTTCCTCTTCAGAGAATCTGTTAGCACAAGTCTCCTGAACTTTGACCTCTGTCATCAGCCACCTGTGGACATCTTCCTTGGTCCATGTTTCAGTTGGAGATGGTGGATTTGTTGAGCGTTTCATTTTGGATCAGCTAAAATTGAAACAGTTGAGTAATTGATTAAAATAATTTAAGGAACAGTTAGGAAAAACTAGTAAATTGTTGTAAGTTGTAAAAAAATCAGACTCCAGACCCCGAACCCTCTTAATTAATGTAGCCATGTTGACATTAGGCAAATTTTTGTTGGCAACAGAGATAGAATCCCCAACAATTTCCATAATTGATTAATCACCGAAGTCCATTATTAAGGAAAAATCACAAATGTTGACTTGTTTCAGCTTCTTAAATTTGAGGATTTTCTGCCTTTATCTTTGGGTTTTCGATGTTAGTCATGCAGAAAACAGCAATTTTAAGACATCAGATTTGGCTCTGGGAAATCATGAGCATTTTTCCCAAATGTTTGTTAGTTGCTGTAGTTATTCCTTAGTTCAGTCAAGAAAGACTAATTTCATCCATTCCACACACTAACTGACACTCAGTTTTCAATTCAAGAGTAACTTGAAAACTGTTTGTCAGAGTGAAAATGTGGTCAGTGGTGGGACGGCCTAGTTACTTACTAAACCTACATTGCATTCTGTTTCTCCTGCTGTTCAGCACCACTTAGACTGTGTGTTAAAGCCGGGCTTCTTAGCTCTCCTTATATATATATATTTTTTTGGTTTCTACTGTCAACTGAGTAAGCATAAAATAGTGATGTGGTCATGACTCATAAATGGCACCACTTCAGCTACAACAAAAAGTAACCACTTTGCTAAGTTTCTGAAAGAAGTTCATATAACAAAGGCTATCAATCGTTTTCAAAGAATTCAAAATAGATGATTATCCAATCCAATCCACTTTATTTATATAGCACGATTTTAACAAACACAAGGTTTCCAAAGTGCTGCACAAAAAGGTAAAACAGAATACATTTTTATTTTCATTTTTAAAGTGACCCCTACAACCTTGTGTATCAGGTACGTAACATAACTTACAATCTTTTCCTTAACCTAACCAAAGGGCTTTAACTGTGTTGCTGTATTCTGATAGATATTATTAGTAGGGCCAAGTAAATATGTTCTAAAAACAAAATCACACCCAATTTATCTTTTGAATCTTTTTTCTTCTTAAAAATAAAAGACTGGAGGCCAGAACCATCTGACGCAGAGAACAGTGAAAAACAAATATTTTTATATACAATAGTGCAATAAACGGAACTTTATAGTGAAAGAACTGCTTCAGTGGTCATGATTAAAATAAAATGTATCACCTCCATGCATTCCTGTCACATTATGACACGTTGTCAATTGAATTGAAAAAATACACAATAGTTGTTAGAAACACTGTTATGCTCATCAGACGCGGTCAACTGAAGCAGCTGACATCTCATTTTGTTAAATGCCTGTTTCCTCAACTCCTCTTTCCTGCGTCTATTCTCCCTTCCTCCACTCACATTTCTGGTGGGAGGGACTAGTATGAGTAGGCCAGGATGTACAAATTTGGAAATGAGAGGGGCCTTTTTCCCGTCAGTGATCACTCCTCCTGATTTTGTACACTCACGTCTTAAATCTTCTTAATGAAATCCAACTAAATCTTCACCTACTGATACACTGTGCCATTTCCCTGCTGTACAATCTTGTCAATGAAATAATAATGAGTCATTGTTCAGTTTTTAAATACAAAAGCCTTAAAAGCATTAAAAGCATGAGAAGCCAGCCACTGAATTTCTCACCTTCAAGTCATGTACGCCTTCTGTTCATCTCTCCTGGAACATGAGAGATGTGATGTTATTCTGAAAAGAAATTTAACTCAGTCATCTATTTACTAGAGGCTTCGCTGGGATTAATGATGCACTATGAACTGTATCGTCTGTGTTCACCCATCTGTGATGCTTAAGCCCATCCCTGCCGCATCATTTCCTGTGACTACAGCACAGTCAACACCCAACATGCCTGAACCCTCCTTCTTTCCCATTATTGAATACAAAACTTTAAACAGACATCTGTATAACAAAAGTTAATTACAATTCAACTGAGAACATGATAAAATGTTAATTATAATAAGATTACACAGTATAAAAAGAAACCATTGGGTGGGCATGATTGTGGGTATAAAGTATACTTGTGTGACCTGCTAAGACTGTTCTCTGTCTTGGACACATGCATATGTCAACCTGATGCAATAAATGTCTAATTACATAAAGTGGAAATAGACCGCTTTTTTTGCTTTAACTTATTAAGTAAATGTTGATTGCAGTGTAATGGCTATAGAATATACATAATATATAGGTGTGTATGCAAGTATACAGTCGCTTGCTTGGCCTGCTTTTTATGTGCACTGCAATGCACATTGTTGCAGGATTAAGTCATACAAAAAGAAAGTTTAAAAAAAAAGTTACTGGCATCCAACCTACTACTCTTATTATTATAATCTAAAGAGAGTGACTTGATGAACTAAAACAAGCTTCAGAGCTTTGGTTTCATCTGCTGTCTGTAATAAATAATAGTAATTGTATACACATTACAACTTTTTTTTTAAGATTTATTATTATTTAAAGACAGAACAAACAAAATGTAACTGAAACATTTAATGAAGTAGTTAAAGTATTTTTAATTGTTGCTGAAATGCAAATTGCATTGATTAAAATAATTTGGTGGCACTGTCCAGCCTCCACAAACTACTGCAGTACATTCTGAGTTCAAACACGTCACAGTTGTGTATCACTGGCCATCGGATACAGTTAGTCTATACAGTTACTTCCTCATATACATCCTCCATGATTTCAGTAAGTAAACTCATACCTGATAAATAAAAACATAGCAGTGGGTTTTTTTCAGTGATACTGGCTGATGTGACATTGAAGTGATAGTTCTGCCCTTCCTGTTGACGTTCCTAACAGACTTTATTTTTAAACCAGAGCCCTGAGTCATCGCGCTGCATTCACTTCACCCGGGAATAATCAATCAAATCATTTCACAGTTAAAAGCAACAAGGAAACAGTCAGACTTAATTCAATCCGTCAAGATGCCATGATTGTAGTTTTCTGTACTTTGGTTGCTTCAGCTTTTTCACAGTAACAACAAACATTCCTCATACTCAGCAAACTCTAAGCTGAAGATCAAAGACGCTATTTGTGGTCAGGGCCCGTATTTATCGAGCATCTTAGAGCAGCTGATCCGTCCCAACTGCGTCAATATACTTCCTCTTCAATGGAGCAGGAGATGGAGCGTTTATGGGGTTTACAAATTTAGGGGTAGCTCTAAAATATTGTAACTCTTGGTGCCCACTTGTTTTTTCTGTATACATTTTAATATTCCTGTATATTTAGGTTCCTTTCGAGTAAACGTCTTATAGCTAATGAGTAAATGCTGAGAAATCCTACGTGAGAGAGAAATCTGTACAAATTGACTTGATTGATTGAATGTGTTGACATATTCTTTTGCCTTCGGGCCTGGGCCCCGATTAATTCTTAACTTGCTCTTACAGCTTGTGCAGGAGGTTTATTTTCTTCCGTTTTATGTGTGTAACTACAGTAATTGTGTGTTGTATAAAATTGCAATTAAAACAGAGGATGTTATAATGGAGGAATATACTAACTGTAAAAGAAACCCCAAACCACTTATCTACACAGAACATGTATAATTATAATATCCCATATGAGAAGTTTTAGTAAGATTAAATCTTAGATTTAGATTAACTTGGATTACTTTTTGATTAAAATGATTTTAAAGCCATATCGCCTGCGTTTAAATTGCTCTTTTCTTGTCTAAGCCGGGAAACTTGGTGCCGACTGCAAACTTCTCTCTTGGTAACAGTCATAAGGTCTGAGCACGGGTCGATGCTGGCCTCATATTTTTGCATATATTCTGTAAGCTACACATTTGCGCTACATAAGAAAGGGTTAGTGTGAAGCTATTATCTGCATTAAAACATTCACTTTCCCATAGAGAGCTGCAGGTATGATGTATTTTTGTAGTCCAACCCTGAAGTTAGCATCAACCAATGGGATTGTTCCATTGGATTTTGGATTATTGCAGAAAATAATCTCTGTGATAAACAAAGGTTTATGATACTTACACATTTTATTCAGTAAGATAATCTCCACATATTAACAACACTTATGATTTTTTTTTTTAAGTAAAAAGCTAACGTTAACGGCTATAAACTAACTAAACCACGATCGGGTGTATCGGACTGTAGAGACTAGTTTCCAGTCAAAAAACGACCTGGGAATGAATTAAGATCTCTATGATCCTTGAAATGTTTTATTGTATTTTAGCCCCTCACTCAGATTGCCCACATAAACCTGAAGAACTACGACACGATGCAGACTTGCAGCAATGTTTTTGGTTTTGGTCACAACATGCTCCAAAACATGACTCAAATGAAACATGACGCTGAATTCGCGGCAAATGTGAAATGGGCCTCGCACGGGCGCGGTAAAATGGTTCAACAGCGCCACATTTAACAGATATGTATGAAAATCCGTACGTTACGTAGATCATGTCCAGAGCAGCAGAAAAGCCTCAAAGACTCATTCCCCAAACCAAACAGGAAGTTGACCATTTTAAAAAAAAATGCAGATTCAATCTTTTGCCAAGAAACAGCCTCGAGCACATCTACCTGCAAAATATTCGTCGTAGTGATGTGAGGGGGACGCTATCACTACGACGAATATCTGCAGGCAACAGGAAATGTAAGGTTTCATTCTTTCATGCATTACTACGAGTAGGTTGACCAGATCCAGCTGAAATGTGGTCAGAAGACTCTTAAGATGGTCATGATGATATGTTACGTATCTGCTTTGTTTTTACCGTTTATCAAGTTCATTGCTGCTTGTAGTTTTAATTAAGCGCGAGTCTAAACACAACGAGGCGGTAAAGGTGGACTAGAGTAGATAAATCTCCCGACAACCTCCGTAGTCTCATTTAGACATCAATGCTCCAAAATGAATAAATGAGGTATTTACTGGCGAATTTTATGTCATAGAACAAAACTTTAAAACTCTCAAGCTTGAGTTAACCACAGACCTTATTTCAGGCATCCAACTAAAACCCCATTGACCTCGTTAGCTGAAATGCTAACTCAGTTCTGGGTTTTAGGACTCATTCCTGCAGCACTCTCTTCTGGTTTCTAGGAGGGATTATGGGATGCTTTATAAATACAGGCCCAGAGTTACACTTTTGTCCCACAGGGTGTGAATGCAGCATTATTACAACCACACATAAAACGAAATAACTAAAACACGAAATGTTCCTCAGTTTCTGTCCGTCCTAACAGTGTCCTCTTCGATCAAACATCAATGCTAGCTGTTGCCATGGTTACTTTATTAGAGAGATAGACAGCGGGGGGGCGCGTCTCCGTGGGTTCGCAGTGACCTAGCTGAGGATTTTGTGGTAGGGGTGGAGGGGCAGGGAGGAGGTGAATGCTCTGATGTCGGAGATGAGTTTGACATCCTGGAGCAACGGCGAGGAAATCGGCAGGAAGGTTAGCTCGCTCACTTCGCCGTAGGCCGAGGAGGGAGGGTTGTCGGGGCTGTCCGTGCTGCACGCGGCGCTCTGCTCCGTGGGGTCGTTCTCCTCCACACCGTAACCGACCACCTGACCCAGAAAACAAACATGTTAAAGACTTTTACAGCTTTTCTTATGTTGGCAAATATTTCCTTCCTTGGATCTAAATCATTTTCTTGATTTTGATTTTATTTTGCCTCATCGTGTTTTTGACCTTAGTTGCACTTTGTAACTTTATTTTGAAAAGTTCTGTATAAATGAAGTTTATTATCTTCTCTCCTCCTTTGACAAAAAGAGTAATTTCACCTCACAGAACAGAACTTAAGCAGTAGATCAGCAACTCAAGTTCTAAAATATGGTTTGTTGCTGCCCCATCTATTGAAGTAAAACTTGAAAGGCTAGAAAATGTGCAAAATCTGCTTTTGATGTTAAAACTACTGCATTGCTTCAAGCTGTGTCACCATGTTTCTGTACTGATTGAATAATAATGAAGCACACAGAAACTTCTGACTGCAACAGAAGTATTTCAGGTGTCTACAGTTTGAAAGAGGTCTGTGAACACAAACACACTCACATGTACACTGAGCTTCCTGCTGTTGTTTCTGTGCTCCAGGAACCAGGAGACCAGCTCCTCCTGAGTGAAGAGCTTCAGGGCCTCGATCTGCAGCAGAGACCACAACAGGTTAGAGCCACATCCTCTAGGTCTCGTTATCATGGCACACAACTGGGAACCAGTGCTGTAAATACCTCCTTGTTGAGCCTCTTGAAGACGTACTGCTGTGTGACGACCTCAAACCAGTTGCGGTCCACTTCCTCTCCCAGGTGGGCGTCCTCACACTCCTTCAGCTTGATGAGCGCCGTCACCTGTGTTCTAAAGGACTCTTCGCTCAGACTCGACAAACGCTCACCGAAGCTGACCAGGAACTCCTCGATCTTCGCCTCAACAAACTCCGTGCTGCGAGGACGAACGGGACGAGGACCGTTAAAAAAAGGAGAAGAAATCTGGAGCTCCACAGAAACTAATGCAGAGAGGTCAGCTCACCTGAACTTGGTGGCCTGTGTTTCCACAGTGACGGAGAATCCCAGCACCCCTGAGGTGTTCCTGCAGGTCGGGTACACCTGGTACCTGGATTAAATGAGACGATGTATGGACAGTTTATATACCTTCCACCTGCTTTAAACTCATCTGTACACTCAGAGTAATGACTGACACTAACCCCAGTGTCTCCTTCGTCCTGAGGAAGTCAAAGCAGGGCTCCTCCATGTGCATCTGTGGACGCAAACAGACGTCAAATTAACAAATCATCACACGCAGGACTCATCCACTACAGGAGACGTCTTTCCATCCAAATGTGTTAAAAATCTTGAGTAAATTGACAGAAACAATGTGACTGAATGCTCGTTTCCATCCACTGCTTTTACGTGGTTATAAGGAGTTGGTTCATTGAGATAAGCACTAGGTGGCGCCAATTCTCCAGTCGGAAAACCAGGAGAAAAAGACGGAACAAAGTGATGATGATGATGTAGTTATTTCAGTATCCGTTTATTTACATTAAATCCCAGCTGTTTGTTTTGGGCTCGCATAGTAAATACAAATGATCCCCCAAGTTTTTTCAGATTTTGCAATGTTTTCCAACGCTATACTTCAAAATGTGTTAATGGAAACATGACTACTGTTGCTTTATGTTCAAATGTCAACACTCACCACCATCAGCTCCATCAGAGCGTGTTCTCTGAGGTTCTTCAGCCCCGACTGCAACACACAGAACCCAGATTTAAACACAAGAATAAAAAGAAAGAAGTAGTTTAGATAATTTACTTCAGTAGAAGTTCGGCATTGAAAGTAAAGGTATGTAAGTGTAATGAGGAAAATGTACTTCATTGTACTTGTGTTTTATATATATATATATATATTTGATGGTTTTCCTACCTGGTAGTAGACAGTGACTTCAGAGTTGGCATCCCCTTTGTTGAGAGATTTGACTTTACAGAGATGTTGTTTCTGAGGCAGCTCCACCACCCGGAACAACACAGGGACCTCTGCTGACAGAGGCTGGAACTGCAGCTTACTGCAGGGACACAGACGCCACCATTAAGGTCACATTTACAGACCAGTCTGAACTGGATCTGGCTGCTGGAGGACTGAATGATTCCTCTGTCGAACGTTCAGCTAACTTAAAATGAATAGATGGATTGAGATTTGAAATATTACCACCCAGTCTATCTCACATCAATGCAACACATTTCAGAAACATTCCTTTTTGCAAAATCAGTTAAAAAAGGTGTCAACAGTTAAAATACCTTCTTTAAAAAGCATTGTCATTCAGTTTAACTTCAAGCCTTCAATCAATTTCTTTCCAAATAAACTTTCATAAACATGAGAGGGTTATAAATAAAGAAATGAAGCAGGAAACTCACTCAATGAAGTACTGCAGAAACTCCTTGGACTCCTGTTGGAGGAAACAAAGTACTTTTTATTTTAAAATTAACCAGCAAAGCAACTTTGAAAAGAACAGGGTCCCATTGAGTCTGGATGAACCTCAGACGTCACTGTGTTCGAACTAACCAATAGGTGTCATCATTCAAAGCTGTGAGCAGCACAAACTAAACCTCAGACACTAAACTAAATCTAGAGAGGAGATGTTTTATGTCTTTTGGGGAAACAGCTGATTCTGATCTTTAGGTCTGTTTCCTACATCACACAGTCTCACCGTGCTGGTGAAGTTTCCCTGCACCAGCCCCTCAGTGTACAGCTCCGCCTTCAGCCCGCTGACGAAGGTCAGGAGGTCGTCGACTGTCAGACCCTTCATGACGGCCTGATACTTCTGAATGACCGACCAGCGACAGTGCTCCAGGATCAACAGACGAACGTCCCTACACAGAGAGGAGCAGACAGAAAACGGGCCGAAAATCAACTCAAAAAGATGATGTAGAGGTGAGCCAATTTAATACAGTCCAAATGTTTGTAGTTGTCCCTTCACCACAGCGTTGGTGATCTAAGGCAGTGGTTCCCAACCTGGGGTCAGGACCCCACTAAGAGTCACCAAAGCTTCATGGGCTGTGGTGAGGCCTTCTTCATTTTAAGGGGTGTAAGAAAACTTAAGAAGGAAACTAAATTAAATAGATTGCTTAGATATATAATTGTTATTTAAAAAATGGGTAAATACTGACAGAATCGTATAGAAGAGGGTGTGAACCAGTGATTTAATGTATTTTCTTATCTATTATTTCCCCGTGTGGGATCAATAAAATCTATCTTATCTTAAAGGATCTGAATACTGGGCAGATGCCAACCCTCTCTGGGGGTATTTCTGATTGGAAATTGTGATGAGCGTGTTTGCGGCGTGTGTCAGACGTACTTGCCGAGCCTCTCCGGTTTGATGAGGATGTTGAAGTAGGTCTTCTTCAGCTGCTCGGAGAACATGGTGAAAACCCCCGGGTCGGCGCTGAACTCTGCCAGATGATCCACGATCAGCTTCAACAGCAGCTGGAAAATACAAAGGAGGAGACCTTTATCTCAACATTTCCTTCATTTCTGCAAAGAAAACTAAATGAAATTGTTACTTTCAAAGTCTAGAATCAAACTTTAAAGACTCAACACATATACACTATACTCAGAGAGAGCCTATAGAACAATGGTTTCAACACAGACTCACCGGCAGTTTGTGGTTGAAGCCTTTGAGTCGGATCACCAGACCGTGTTCTCCGGCAACCAGCTTGTACTCCAGCTGAGCCACGTCGGCCTCGTAGGCCGGCTCTGCCAGGTTGTGAGCCAAGATGTTCACGAAGATGTCGAACAGCACCAGACTGAAAGAGGAAGAACGGCGGTTAAACCCCAACGAGAGGAGATAAATTCATCAGTGCTGATTGAGTTTTACAGTCTGTCAGTGGTTTCTTACTTCTCAGGACTCTTCTGAATCATTGGAGAGATCAGGTTGAAACGAATATAGGCTGAAAGACAGAAAATTATCATGTTACTGAATAAGTCATACATTGACTGTTGATCCAGTGTGAAGCCACATTGTTACCATCCACTGTTTTGATCTTGGTGCTTTTTAACTCTAGATTTGAACCGGATGAAGGATTTTAGTCATCAGACGTCTGGATCTTAAGTTATCAGAGAAACAAGCTGAGCTAACGTTAGCAGCAGCTCGGCTCGCAGCCCCTCCGGGACGTCCTTTGTCTGTCCAACAGCGTGGGAGAAGCAGTGATTGTTAAGGTGGAACTGCTTTATTCAGTGTGTTTAGTGGTTTTAATCAGCGGGTCTGTTTGTGTTGGAGAGGAGGAGACCTCTGTGGATCATTGGGCTCCCGGTAGAAACCTCCTGAACCATGAACACTGAAGGAATCCTAATTCACAGCAAGTTAAACATTCAAACCACAACTCAGGACACACACACACACATACACACAGCTTAAGGAACAGCAATGACTTAAACTGCCCACCAGACAGAGCCGTTTAATGAGGCTCAGCTTTACTGTGTAGTATTTCATCATTTTATTTTCATTGCTGTCTTTTAATAGTTTAATAAACTGTTTTTCTGGTTGTTTTGACTCTAAATCCTTCTGTTAGACAATCTGTGTCTCGCTGGTAAAGCACTTTGCATTGCATTTGATTTGTTTGAAAGGTGCGATGTAAATAAAGGTTGATCGAAACATATATCCTTATATAGAGAAAGGGGGTGTGGCAGTATCCATTCCTGAGTTTAAAGGTCAGGACCATAACTGGGTGCTTTTCGTGCTCTAAAAATCTATTCTGAATGTTACTGGTAGCCAATGCAGATGTAATAGCTGTGATAGTCTAGTCAGGATGAAATAAAAGCATGAATCACTTGAATATATGTTGTGTAAATAAAGGTTTGTACAGACAACGGAGAGAATAATTCATGTTTGTTAGTTGCAGATTTAAAAACTGATCCGCGGACTCACCTTTGGGGATCTTGAACTTGTTGTCCTTCTTGTACCACAGACAGCCTCGGTCCGTGTTGACGACCCTGACAGGAAACTCTGAGTCCGGACAGTCGGCTGTTTTCAGGGCGAAGTCCGTCGCTGCATCACGAAAGGAGAAAAACAACAATCATGAAACAGCTGACCGTGTTGATTCATGTTTTCAGCTGCTGGTTATTACTTTCTGATAAAACATCAGTGTTCGTACTGACCGATGAACTTGTTCTCAGCAGGAAGGTGGAGTTCGGGGTTGAGTTCGAAGTCTCCGGTCCAGCGCTGAGCCCACTCGTCTGAGATGTCTGATGACACAAAATCTCTTAGTGAGAGCATTATGTAACATCTGATATTAAATACTGTCGCGGAGAAATGCAAAAAGGTAGTCGGCAGTGGCGTCTACCGTTGGTGGTATTCTGTTTTACCGTCCTCCTTTCATCCACTAACATGACATGACGCAGATGTGTGATGATTATTCTAAGTATCCCACAGGAAATTAGCTTAAAGCTATAACCTGTAACATTTCCTCTTTAAAATGACTAAACTCTGGCTCAATGTTGTATATGTGGTTAATTAAATCAATAATGTATAATCATTAAACAGTGTATGAACTCTAGCTCTATGTTCTATATGTAGTTGACTTCTTACATTATCCCAAATGTTTCCAACAATGTTCAAACTCAGAGAAATCTGTCATTTTATTCAGGTAACGCTGCGTTTCCTATTGGCCTCTAGTTGCTGTAACTTCCAGCAGAAACATCAAAGTGACTAAAGGTAATTTAAATAAATGACCTCGTCCATGAACAGCATCTCTGTATATCACACACATTAAATATTGGGGGGGGGGGATCTTCACGAAGCTGCTAAAAGATAAATGGGCTATTAACAGAACTATAAAAAAAAACAGAGGAACTTACTAAACACAACGCCACCTAGAGGCCTTTTGGGGCTCGTGCCTGTCAGACCTCACAGTGTGTGTGTGTGTGTGTGTGTGTGTGTGTGTGTGTGTGTCGTACCCTCCATGCTGTAGCAGGTACCGAACCATTTTTCTCTGAGGGGACAGTGACCTTCGTTCTCCGGTGACAGCAGCAACAGGTTCGCTCTGTCGGGAGTCAGCAGGGACAGAGCAGCACTGATCACCTGGAGACAGACAGACAGACAGACAGACAGACAGACATACAGACTGATGACATCTCGTGGACTCAGGAGGTCACAGTCCAGCAGTGAGTCCTGTTATCAATATCTAATACATTTATATTCTCTATATAATGAGATCTTGTGGTCTCAGACTGATTCTGGATCAGATCTGGGTCTCGTGGTCCTGGTTACCTGCGGGTCGTACTCAAACATGAGCTGGTCTCCGGTCAGGAAGTCGTCTTTGGGAAACAGCTGCATGTTCTCACAGATGTTCTCCACAAACTCGATGGGATCCGTCTGTCAGTCCAGAGACGGCGTGTTTAATCAATCACATATATTTCATTAAAACACACATTAGAATTATCAATAACCTTCAGTAATTCATAAAAATAAACAACAGAGACACAGTTCATTATTATTGATTGACAGGAAAGAACCCATGTTGTGTGTTTGTATCCGGAGGGCTCGTCTCATCTAATTCAAACTCTATTATTTTATCCATCTCATCGTAATTATTGCCGCTTTAACGATCGCAGCTGATGAATTGTCTGTCGCATCGTCGCAGAGACGAAGCCGATTAATTAACACCTGATTGTTAATCGCCTGCTGACGGAGCCGAGTGAGTAAACACATTCATTTAAAGGTGTGTTCGGTGTCGGCGGTGCTCTACCTGCTCCTGATAGTGGAACTCGTTGGCTTCTATCTTCTGAATTTCTTCGTAGATCCTGAAAAAAATGAAGTTTTACATTTAAAACTTTATAAAGGAACGGAGACCCTGAAGAACAGATTCAAACAGGGAGGAATATCTGTACTATGTGGCTGTTGTGACTGGATTTCTGAGTTATTTGACTGCTTAAAGGAGAAAATGTTATGTTCCCAGAGAGTCGATATGGGGAAAAATAATCAAAAACTGTATTTTTAAAGTAACTTCAGGTCCACCAGAAAATTGAGAAACCACGGTTCTATTTCCAGCGTTGAGCCATATCTCTAGAGACTGGACCTTCAGGGGAGTTTAAACACACATGTTAAGCTAATGTCTTATGGTAGACGTTTTATTCATAGAATTAATAAATGAAAACAGTTTAAAAGTTCAAGTTACATCCA